ATACCTCCTCGAATGTTCCTTATTTACTGATCACCCTATCCTCTCCTTAACCTCATTATTCACTCCTCCTACTACCTTCATGCTTCTCCTAAAGACAAGACCTCAGGTCTTTGTTCTTTTCCCCTTAGAAGAAGATTTAAAAAATACCTATTAATTTAATAAATCTGTGATGGTAGCTTAGCACCCACACACTAAATCGTTCCCACAACAAAACCTTTATATCTTTTTCTGAAAGCCTTTTATATTGTAACCAGTCTTTCAATGAAAATGTTAGTGTGTTGCAGCACATTTCTACTTGCTCTTATTAAAAGGGGCGAGTTAATATTCATCCACACATGACCTACTCTCATCCATTTACATTTCAAGAGTAGGTTGGACATCATTTGTACACAGGGCATGTTGATAAGCAAATTGAATGGTTCTATCTGTGCCGGAATAGTATCTGTTTATCTTGGAGATAATCTGGCTTTTATTAACCATAATAAACATATTGGTAACACTAGGATGGAAAATGTCTGAGGCTAATAAGAGGGCTGTTAAGAGTTTCTCCATAACCAAACAAGATTTTAAACCAAGTGTCCCGGGTGTAACATGCCGGCTGTGTGGGCTGAAATGAGCCCGCAGTTTTAATCATTGCAATGTCCACTGATATTATGTCTTCTGTGCTGTGTTCGTAATCACAATTTCCTACATTTTATTATACTGGAACAGTCCGACTTCACTTAAACTCTCTCATAAACCTTCTTAATTGCCTCACACTTTCTCCCAGGTCTTTGGGGTTTATTTCGACAGAATGTTGTTGTCTTTGTCAGCTTGCGAGTGGATTTTAATGAGCAACACTGCTAACAAAAGCAATTTACACTGAGCCGGGCAAGGTAATAAATTAAAGGACAGCTTCTAAATCTGGCAGAGCTGGTGTTATTGCGGCCTGATTCGGCACCTCCCCTGTAACTTTGGCCCGGATAATCTTACAGAAATCTCACTGGTGTGAGTTATTCTCCTTTAGTTTAATTAGCAAAGGAAGATCGTCACGCATGCTATGGGGAAATATACAGCGGATAAAAGCAAACTTTATGGGCTTACATAATCATACTACTGAATATGTTTTTTCAGGAAAGCACACAAATGAGCACAGAGGAGACAGTTGGTGCTGTTTTATGCAGCTGCTTGGTGCCAAATATTCTGTTTTATGTAGCTGAACTTGAGGATGCTTTTACAGGGAAAACAGTGCAGCTGCAGTACGAGCATGTGATAAACTAATCTAAAAGAAAATGGAGAAAAACCATTGTAATGAGGTGACATTATTTCAAAAGTTTCTGTTTACATTCAATGTTACTCATCAAAAATGAATAAGTGTATCTTTGAGCTCATTACAGTATCAACGTCCATATCTAACGCATGTGTCTGAAAATACAACAAATAAAAAGGGCAACTGCTTTAACATGATACAACATTAACCAAAATATGGAAACAATATTTAAGTAAGCTTAAATTAATCAGCGTCAAATACAAAAAAGAGCACAGAAACCTATTTGAAGCAATTAGATCTAATTGATATGTTGATTGACTCAGCATTAATCATCAACCACTTTGTTAATCAATTAATAATGTGTCATGTGTCATAATGAGTCATCAAAGATCATTAAATATCCTTTGCTTTTGGATGATTTATCAACAAAAAAAACAGACAATTTGAGGACCTTACCTAGGTAATTGGTGAGGGGTGGTTTCTACTATTATAGTTTGTACAAACTGAACATTTTTCTAATTTATCAAAGAAGTAAACAACACATCGAAAATGAAACATAGTATGCAGCGCCGCCAGCAATATCAAAACCCACTGTAGCTAATAAAGAAAAAAGTTGTTTATTGGCCCTCTGGCTCAGACCTTTTAAATGGTGTCCCACCTGCTGCTGCGCTGTAACAAAAGGGCAGATATTTGCAAAAGTCAGCGGGTGGCTACACTGTAGTATGCAAGCCCCACTGTGCGTGTTTTGGTGGGGCGGGTGGCCGCTCTCAGACACGAGTAAAAACCTGGTGACAGATAATAAAAGCAACTGTGACGTAAGGCGAGGAGAAGCGGCGTGTGAGTAAGAGTTAACCGTGTTTTCCTTCACTGTGCAGCACAGCCTTGGGACAGTCATGCAAACAAGGTTCTTCACACTCCAGCATTTAGACAGGCTGCATTTAGGCAACGTGCAATGTTTTCATTTGCACACCCTATCGATAGAACCAAGAAGAGACTGCTTGGCACCAAATGTATTATATTTCCAGCATGTGCACTCATACGTAACACCGGACGAGGTGTGAATATGGCAGGGATAGAAAAATAACAAGATGTATTTACAGTAGGAGATGGGTTTTACAATTTTTTTACAGGTGTGTGAAACTTGGCATATATACTTTTGTTTACATGTTGCACTCAATCTCAATCTTTATTTATTTATATAGCACATTTAAAACAACCTCAGTTGACCAAAGTGCTGTACAGGCAATAAATACAATAACACAATGGGAGTACAATAATTGAAAACATGATGAAAAGCACAATAACTAGAAACATATAGAAACACATACAAATGTAAAAATGTAACTAGTATTAAAAGCCAGTGCAAAGAGGTGGGTTTTTAGCTGAGATTTAAAAAGTTCAATAGACTCAGCAGTCCGGATATGTACTGGGAGGCTGTTCCACAGTCTGGGAGCTGCAACATTTGAAAGCCCTGTCACCTCTGTTTTTTTTTTCCTGCACCGAGGAACCACCAGCATATTCTGCTGAGCTGAGCACAATGATCTAGCTGGAGCATGGGGGTGCAACAACTCAGACAGGTAATGTGGTGCCAGTCCATGCAATGATTTAAAAACAAAAAGTAAGTACTTGAACTGGATCCTGTAACTGACAGGAAGCCAATGAAGATCTGCCAGAACAGGTGTGATGTGGTCATATCTTCTCTTCCCTGTAAGAAGGCGTGCAGCCGCATTTTGGACCAGCTGCAGGCGACGGACCAAACACTTATCAACACCAATATACAGGGAGTTACAACAGTCTAAGCGAG